CTTATTTGTTTAAAGAATCAACGGAGTCACCTGATGAGAGAACAATCTCTACTTTCAGTTCCGGATAAGAGAAACCACTCTACTGTACCCGACCTCCTCCACATCCCTCACTACCCCACCCCCACATCCTCACTACCCCCACTCCCCACATCCCTGACTACCCCACACACCCCCACATCCCTGACTACTCCACCCCCCACATCCCCACTACCCACCCCCTGGCCACCCCACCCCACATCCCCCACCACTCCACATCCTCATTACCCACCCCCATTATCCCCACTACCCACACCCCACATCCTCTACACTACCCACCCCTCACATCTCACCCCCACATTCCATTCCCTCCTACATCCTCACTGCCACCTCAGCACAACCCTCACTACCCATTCCTTCGATCCCACAAGCCTCACTGCTGTCCTTCTTTCCTCTCACATCCTCTCCCACTCCAGCATCCCTCCCACCTTCCTCCTGCCTCTGGCACATCCTTCTCCATCCCTGCAACTCCATACATCCCTTCCCGCCTCCCTCACCACCCCACAATAATCAGCCTCCCTCACCTATCACACCTGGCCTTCAAGTACCCCTCTCACCCCCCAATACCTGAGAGGAGAGCACCCGTCTTAACACCAAGGGGGCCAAGATTATCAGAAGGTTCGTACGTTAAAAAAAAAAATTGTGGGTCACCTACATAATGGCGTCCAAAAAGCTCTGAAACTCCATTATTTTTTTATCTTCAATGATGTGAAAATATCAACGTAAAAACCTTTCAGTGTCTAGACATTATATTACTAAATTATTCAACCTTTTTTATTTAGCGAATCTCGAACATTATTCCGAGGTTCACACACACACACACACACACACACACACACACACACACACACACACAAATACGGCACCAGGTAGGAACGATAAGAACGTCGCCTGGGTTTCCTCAGACCACTTTCTCCAATTCATTAACATGAGGGCGAGCCATAAGAATGTCCCACGGCATAATGAAACGTTTTTTTTATGTCTCTATCTCTTCCACCGCATAAACGACTCAGCCAGCCAGAGTCCTCACATACCATGGAAGGGAGGCGACGGGAATACCAGTGCTTCCCCTCCCATACCACGGCTTCCAACTATCATCTTATCTAAACATCCCTCGAGACAACACCTGAAGGGGAGTATTATCCCGCCTACAGGAGGAATTAATCTCAAGAAGCAGCTCCAACACCAAGGACGTAAACAGATCCCTCAAGGACATCTCCTAAAAAAAATATATTTTCCTTGACATCGACTGTTAATCACACGGGCGGGAAAGGACCCCAAGACCTAGCTAGGGGGGGGATATCCTCACTTCTACGGCCGTGTCCTGTAGAGACGATTGCTCCTTACTACTGATGGGGGACCACGGCCTTAATTGACAAGCAGCAGCCGGGTCGTAATTGAGGGTCTTTATCCCGGTGTGTGTGTGTGTGTGTGATGATGGCAGTGATAAGGAAGCGTGAGACAAGAGGCCCACTCAGTTTAGGACACCGTGTGGGATGGAGAGAGCAGGAGTGGGAGAGGGAAGGATGGGTGCAGTGAGGGATGTAGGAGAGGGAAGGAGTGGGTAGTGGAGGATGTGGGGAAGAAGTGAGCAGTGAGGGATGTGGAGGGATGTAGGAATAGGGTGAGTGTAGGATGGGAGGGATGGGTGGATAGTGAGGGATGGGGTAGGTAGTGAGGGATGTGGAAGGAATGGGTAGAGAGGAATGTGGAGGAATGGCTAGGTGAGGGATGGCTGGGAGGGAAATGGCTAGTGAGGGATGTGGAGGAATGGATAATAGGGGAGGGAGGGAGAGAAGGAAGGGGTGAGGGAGGGAACAGGTGCCATAACTCAAGCGTCAAGGGCCACTTAAATTAAGGGTCTACTTGTCGAGCAGCAGCCGCGTTTAAGGGCACTCTGGAGCGTCAGCCTCGGGTGTATTTAGGGTATCATATTATTAACATTGATGCTGGTATGACGTACAACAACATCTTCAGTCAGATCAGGAGAGGCGACGGTGGCGGTGCTGGTGACTAATACATAAGAATAGGAAAATAGAATAATAATTTCTCTCGTTATTATTCTATGCTTCTTTTTGCTTTTGTTATTGGGACTAATTCCTTCGTCTGTACTGACCTTACTGACTGTGTTTATTTTCATGTGATGGAGTTTTTTGTTTTGTTTTTCAAATAAGGTTTAACAAAGTCAGGGATTTTTTTTTTTTCTCGTCACCCTCACCTACACACACACACACCATCCTGGCCAGCCGTACCCCCCAACCCTTTGCCACAAAGGGTTGGGTTAGATTAGGGCTTTTAACCATCACATTAAATATACTAAGGGGTGTAAAATTCATGTGAACCGCCAATCCCACGTAGAATTATCATCCACCCCCCCAGTCTACCTGAAGATGAAGGAGTGTGCTGCGTGTACACATCCATCACATTTACCACCGAGTATCTTCACCAGGGGAGGGCACAGGACACACACAGACACACACACATATATAATACGTGGGATATAAAAACGTCCGAATGATTACACACCTCGACACGGACATAAATAACCGGAAAATTAAGCATTATCATATAAAGTGGAGCCTGATGGATCGGGAAGAGGGTAGGAGGGTGTGTGTGTGTGGGGAGGGGGGGGTGGGGGTAAGAGAGTGTCGGTGGTTATGGGTGGCTAAGGGAGGGGATAGGAGAACGTTAGAGGCCTTTTTTGTTTTAAGGTGCGAGGTGAAGGAAGTTTATTGGGTCACGTCCCTACCTACCCCAGGCCCTCCCACGAGCATCTCATCTCCCTCATCCCTGGTTACATCTCCCTCATCCCTGGTCACATCTCCTCCTTGGCCACCACTCATCCCTGGCTACACCTTATCCCCGGGCACATCTCCTCCCTGGCCACATCTCTCTGGTCACATCTCCTCCTTGGCCACCACCCATCCCTGGCTACACCTTATCCCCGGCCACATCTCCTCCCTGGCCACATCTCCCTGGGCATATCTCATCCCTGACCACACCTCATCCCCGCCCCTCACATTTCACCTCGCCCACCCTGCCCCACCTCATCCCCACTGAGTAGTTGAGGCAGATTTTAACACTGAGGATGCTGCCACTAATCATCTCCATGTAGGTCAGATGTACAGTCCCCCTCAAAAAAGTATCGTTAGATTTTTCGTTACTACAATTTGAAACTCTAGTCGAAACGCTTTGATATAATCCCCAGTGCATCACTATAACTTGGTACGCCTGCTCGCCATAACAACAGCTAGATATGGGGGTAGGATGAGGGGAGGGAGTCGTCCTTATATGATATACTACATATTTCAATATAACAAGAAAGCCATTAAGCTATATTACTGTATGTATCGTTCTAAAACGTATATACTCAATCATGCTCAAAGGTCGCGGATGTAGAATTACCAACCGTTCAGAAACAGGTCGAGTAACATTACTCGTAAAGCCCCTCATCACATCGACCACATGGCTAACGATACTTTTCTTGTGAGACTTGACAATAAAGATGTTAAATAAAAAATCCTCCCCTCCTCTTTCTCCTCCCTATCTTCCTCCTCCACATCCTATTTCTGAACCCACTGTACTCGTAGCCTACCTGTACTATGATTCCCTTCGTGTTGTTCGTCTGGTGGTCGTGGTGTACGTCAATCTTGCGTCGCCCGGGACACACACACACACACACACACACACACACACACACACACACACACACACACACACACACACACACACACACACACACACACACACACACACACACACACACACACACACACACACACACACACACACACACACACACACACACACACACACACACACACACACACACACACACACACACACACACACACACACACACACACACACACACACACACCCACACACACACACACACACACACACACACACACACACACACACACACACACACACACACACACACACACACACACACACACACACACACACACACACACACACACACACACACACACACACACACACACACACACACACACACACACACACACACACACACACACACACACACACACACACACACACACACACACACACACACACACACACACACACACACACACACACACACACACACACACACACACACACACACACCAGACTTCAATAGGTTGTTTTCCCCGCTGCCTCTCGTCCGCCGACCCCTTCACAAGTTTGATGTGTGGCGAGGCGTTAATGTCAATTTTCCACCTGAGATTCTTCCCTCATTATCTAAAGATTCACCGAGAGCTGATTAAAAGCTGTTGATCTTCCTCTTGGCTGCCTGGATCACGACCAACGGTATTTAAAACCTTATTGGCATTATAAGGTTCACTGATTCACGATGGGTGTTTACGTTGTTATAATTGATGCCCTCCCTCCTCCCCGTAATGTTTGCCTGTCTTACCTGTGTCATGGTTACTGAAGAAAAAAAAAAAGCTATGATCTTCACTTGTTTGAGTTGAAAACCTTAAACCAATATTTTTATATCTTATTTTAAAGTAATATTTCGTGACACACACACACACACACACACACACACAGATGACCTTTTTAGGGCGACAAGAAGGAACTTTTGTAACTCAAAGTAGTGAAATTATCACTTCAGAGGTTCACTGACACTAAAATAAATTAATTTGACATTCTGTGTACACCCGAGACGACGTTGACATCTGCAAAACACTGTTGACATCACCATGACGGAGCTAATCCAAAGGGCAGTCAAAGTGGTGTCTTCTTGCTTGGTGACGCAGATGTGTACAGAACAACACTCTTTGTACTGCATATCTCAAGTCCAGTGACCACACAGGAACGGTACAGTACACACGTCAAGATCAGAAGGCCACACGACCAGAGGGCCACATGACCAGAGGGCCACATGACCAGAGGGACACACAACCAGAGGGACACACAACCAGAGGGCCACACGACCAGAGGGCCATATGCGACCAGAGGGCCACACGACCAGAGGGCCACATGACCAGAGAGGGACACACGACCAGAGGGCCACACGACCAGAGGGCCACATGACCAGAGGGCCACACGACCACAAACCAGAGGACACACACAACCAGAGGACACAACCAGAGGACACACGACCAGAGGGCCACACGACCAGAGAGCCACATGATCAAGAGGCCACACGACCAAGAGGCCACACGACCAGAGGCCACACGACCAGAGAGCCACATGATCAAGAGGCCACACGACCAAGAGGCCACACACCAGAGGCCACACGACCAGAGGGCCACATGACTAAGAGGCACACACGACCAAGAGGCCACACGAGACCAGAGGGCCATGACCAGAGGGGCCACACGACAGAGGGACACAACCAGAGGGACACACGACCAGAGGGCCACACGACCAGAGAGCCACATGATCAAGAGGCCACACGACCAAGAGGCCACACGACCAGAGGGTTACACGACCAGAGCTACACACGACCAAGGAGGACACGTGACCAGAGGGCCACACGACCAAGAGACCACATGACCATAAGGTCACATGATCAAGAGGCCACACAACCAGAGGGCCACACTTTATCAATATACGAAACGACCAGGAGCCATATGACCAGAGGGACACACAACCAGAGGGACACACACGATCAGAGGGCCACACGACCAGAGGGCCACATGATCAAGAGGCCACACGACTAAGAGGACACGACCAGGGAGGCCACACGACCAAGAGAGACCACATAACCAGAAGGTCATGATGACCAAGAGGCCACACGACCAGAGGGCCACACGATCAATATACGAAATGACCAGAGAGCCACACGACCAGAAGGCCGCACGACCAAGATGCCGCACGACCAAGATGCCACACGACCAGAAACCTACACGACCAGAGGGTCACACAACCAGAAGGTCACGGACCAGAGGGCCACACGACCACGAGGCCACACGAACAGAGGGCCACAAGACCACAAATTTAGATTTCCCAAAGGCCGCACCACCACTAAGTCATATTTCCAGAACTCGACGACAAAGACGACCAACACCCACAGGACGTACACACGTCCTCCTGCCCCGGCAGCAGCAGCAGCAGACAGCCGCTCACAGTACCTGCAGTATTCCACACTCCACTTCCTGTCCCGTGGGAGCAGTGAACATGAACCGCATCCACCAAACAAGATTTTATTTACTCGCCACTTTGAGAGACTTGCCACTCCACAAGCCTTCGGGGGAACGGGACAAATCTCTTGAATAAACATGCATACGGTGTTTCGTGTGTGTGTGTGTGTGTGTGTGTGTGTGTGTCTGTGTGACGATCACTCCACACCGTAACGCTTGGAGAAGTACCACACGAGGTGTCAATACCTTCGAGTTAGACAAGCGCCAGGGCCGGAAAGACGCTGCCGCCGCCCCTCCCGCACTAGATGTAGCCCTCCACATGTGTAACATCCCGTATCGGCCTCTTTGGTCACCTCAGAGCTCACCAACGAAGGTGACATCCTTAATAACTTATATCATTGCATCATAGCTGGATGATCGTCATACTCAATTCCGAGTGATAGCAGCAGCACATAAAACATAACCCGGGTCATCCTCCCTCTGTATCTCAATGCCATCACCGGGCGCCACCTCTCCGCCACACACCATAAAACACCAAATATTATCTTGCCCTCTGTCATTTATTATTCCCCCCTCGGCCACTTATCAAAACTGAGCGTGAAAGGGTGAAGCAAAACTATTTATTGATATCATCGAGGTTATGACATTATCTTCTGGTATATTAAGATATTAAATTTTGTCACGATTTTTGTCATTATTGATGCAGTGATTTAAAAAAATAAATATTTGAATTATTACCTAAAAAGCCAGGAGCCTTAGAGTTCACCCAGCTTAAAAACAATTAGCTTAATAAGTCAAGCCTGCAAAGTTTTATTAAAAACATTCTTACGGAGCATGAAATTAAGAAAAGAAAGCAAGCTATCTGAAGAGTCAAACAGATTCAGGAATGGAAACTAAACTAGAAAAGCTATTAAGGTAATTTGGTTTGAGAATTTTGAGTGAAAGTTTTAGAGGTCCAAAGAAATTTGTATATCTGCTTTCTTATTTTTGATGAGGTAAAATACAATAAACTTACATAGGTATTGGAAAAAAAATGGCATTAATGAAGGAGATATGTCTAAAAAATCATTACTGTAAACAGGGGGCTGCAGGGTTAGTACATAATGAACTTATTGATTCAAAGTCAGACAGAGAGTAAGACGAGGCTGTGTTTTATCTCCAACATTGTATAATATATATTCAGAATTCTTAATGAGAGAAGTTATAAGTAACAATGAATGACTAAAAGTTTGTGATAAAGCAAAATAAAATACACGCTATGTAGATGATACTGCTCTTATAACGGAGAGTGAAGAGGCGTTACAAAAACTAGTGAACACATTTGAGGAAGAAGGTGAAGAATATGGGTTAGTGCTGTAAAGACGACAGTAATGGTTGTTTCCAAATAGAAAAAAAATCCTAAAAAAAAAATTATGGTTGACAACAGGGAACATTAGCTGTGATGGTAGATGTGTGAAGGAAATTAAAACAAGAATAGGTAAAGCAAACACAACATTTAAATTAATCTAAAAGACTTAATGAAAAGGGACAATAACTTCAATTTCAGAATGAGGTTGTTGAAAGGCTTTATATGGCAAGGACAGTTGTATGGGTCAGAAGCGTGAACACCTTCAGCAGAGACCAGAGAGAGGCTGGAGGACCTTAAAATGTGGTGTTTTATACGAATATTAAGAACAAATTACACTGACAGTAAAATCTCGGAGGATTGGTAAAAACAACCCGAAAACGCTCGGAGTGGAGGACTGTGGTCGCCAACCCTCAGACATGATTATGGTACTTTGGTTTACTCGCCATTATTATTATTATTATTATTATTATTATTATTATTATTATTATTTTTATTATTATTATTATTATTATTATTATTATTATTGTCCATTTTACTGTAGTAGTAGTAGTAGTAATTGGAAGAGTAATAATTGCAATAGTAATAACAGTTGTAATAGGTAACAGTAGTAATAGTAAAACATAACTCAGTATATCGCAGCCTCCGTCACAGCCTCCGTCACAGCCATATGGGCACGGGGCACTTGTGAGGTAACGGTGAGGAGGACCAGGTATAATCATTGAGGGGTGGGGGGGATTATTTGCAGGTTATTATATGTCCATAAAGGCCAAGAGTTGACTTACTGGGTGAGGAGGTGGGAAGGGAGGAAGGAAGGAAGGGGAAGGAGGAGGGATGTGGGGAAGGAAGGGGGAGGTGAGGAGGGAGGGGGAGGGTGGGGGCAGAGATTGAGGAGAGAGAGAGAGAGAGAGAGAGAGAGAGAGAGAGAGAGAGAGAGAGAGAGACGAAGAGGTAGGAGAGGGAGGGAGGAGGAGGAGGGAGGGAAGAGGAAATGAGGAAAGTACAAGAGGAAGAGAAGGGAGGGAGGAAGGTTAGGTTAGTTTAGACCAGAAATAACAGAGGTTAACTACGATAATTAATCAAGCAAACACTAGTCCACCTGAACCCTACCTGTTCTAGATTAATTATTACACACCCCAACATTACCCCCTACCCACCTGCCCGCTGATGTATTATTAAGCACACACACACACAGTCCAGGTAGGGAATTAGTCAACGCTCGTCATTACCGGACCAATTAACCTGCCAGGAGCTAACTGAATTACCTTCCTCGACAGCAATTTCGCCCATAATTAGCAGTCCGTTTAACAAGCTTTCTGTTCTGGTAATCACCGGGGACTCGCTTGTGTCGACAGTCAACCCGGTGGAATATTTAAGCCGAAAATCAATAGATGGGGCAATAGATGGGGCAATAGATGGGGCAATAGATGGGCAATAGATGGGGCAATAGATGGGGCAATAGATGGGGTAATAGATGGGGCAATAGATGGGGCAATAGATGGGGCAATAGATGGCAATAGATGGACAAGCTTAGATGGGGTAAATAGATGGGGCAATAGATAAAGGTTAGATGGGGCAATAGATGGGGTAATAGATGGGGCAATAGATGGGGCAATAGATGGGGCAATTTAAACAATAGATTAACGAGAGAAGAACAATATAAGCAACAAAAGAACAATAGAAGAACAATAGACAGACAATAGCTGGCAATTTATCTATCATCGTGAGTATTAAATAGTTCATCTGGCACATAAGACGAGGTACAGTACACGATACATACTTTTCACACCTAAAACAATTATTTCAGAAACAGAGAAAAAAAACAAAAACAGGATCTCATTTCGGACTTTTTTCCCAAGCACCCTGATGTGTTTTTTCCCCAGTGAGGCTTTTTTTTTTTTTTGTAACCTGTACTTAACGCTGTAGTGTCAAATTTTAGACCCTAGTCCTGATACTACCCTGATCCCCCCCCCCTCCCTCCCCCCCACCCCCTCCTCCCTCTCATCGTAACTATTTGGATTAGGGAAATGTTAAGAACGACGAGGTATATTAGGACTGGGGGTCAATTAGAGCAGAGGAAAATGCAGATGGTTTATAGCACAGGTAAGGTTCTTGTTGGAGGGGGTGGGGGGGGGGTGGGGGGGGTTCTATAGGGATTGAGACTTATTAGAGATGGGGCCCGTTAAGACAGGGGCCCTAAATCCTATTGGTTAAGCCAGGTAAAGTGATTCATTTGATTAATTACAAATTTCATAGTATATTGACCAATTACAATGACTTTCATAGTTTGCTGACCAATCTTATAGTTCACTTTATAACCAAAAAGAATTTAATAGTTTACCGACCAATCACAATGAATCTCATGGTCTACTAACCAATCGCAATGAATCTCATGGTCTACTAACCAATCACAATGAATCTCATGGTCTACTAACCAATCATAACGAATTTAATTGTTTACATTGTTTCCAGTTCTTGTATCACCCGTAACGTTACCCCCTGGGTGACCGTCACCACTGTAGCCTAATATGGCATTATAGTGAGCCAGTGCTACCAATAGGGTGTTATGGTGAGCCAGTGTTACCCCTATGGTGTTATGGAGAGCCAGTGTTACAAATATGGTGTTATGGTGAGCCAGTGCTACCAATACGGTGTTATGGTGAGCCAGTGCTACCAATACGGTGTTATGGTGAGCCAGTGTTACCAATACGGTGTTATGGTGAGCGAGTGCTACCAATACGGTGTTATGGTGAGCCAGTGTTACCAATACGGTGTTATGGTGAGCGAGTGCTACCAATACGGTGTTATGGTGAGCCAGTGTTACCAATACGGTGTTATGGTGAGCCAATGCTACCAATGCGGTGTTATGGTGAGCCAGTGTTACCAATACGGTGTTATGGTGAGCCAATGCTACCAATGCGGTGTTGCGGCGGAGCCAGCAAGCTACCCCTATGGTGCGGTGGAGAGCCAGTGTTACAAAATACGGTGTTATGGTGAGCCAGTGTTACTAATACGGTGTTGGTGGTGAGCCAGTGTTACCACTATGGTGTTAGTGGTATCAGTGTTACCACTATGGTAAGTATGGTGAGCCAGTGTTACTAATACGGTGCTATGGTGAGCCAGTGATACCACTATGGTGTTATGATGAGCCAGTACAAAAACGGTAAGCGGTCAGCCAGTGGTGTCAAGTGGGTATTTTGTGTGCCGCCAATACGGTGTTATGGTGAGCCAATGC